GTGTCTGTGTGTGTCTGTGTCTGTGTGTGTCTGTGTTTGCATATATATACATATGCATATAAATATACATATACATGTATATATACATATACATATGCATATATATATGTATATACATATACATATGCCGCGCGCGTACATGCACGCGCACACACACACACAACACACACACACACAACACACACCACACACACACACACACACACACACACACACACACACACACACACACACACACACATACACACATACACATACACATATACACGTGTGTGCGTATATATATATATATATATATATATATATATATATATATATATATATATATATATATATATATATATATATATATATATATATATATATATATATATACATATACATGCATATATGTATATATATATATATATATATATTATATATATATATATATATATATATATATATATATACATGCATATATGTATATATATATATATATATATATATATATATATATATATATATATATTATATATATATATATATATATATATATATGTATGTATGTATGTATGTATATTTGTATGTATATATATTTATGTATGTATATATGTATATATATGTATTATGTATATATATGTATGTATGTATTATTTATATGTATGTATGTATTATATATATATATATATATATATATATATATATATATATATATATATATGTATATATATTATGTATGTATATATATATATATATTATATATATATAATATATATATATATTATATAAATATATAAATATGTGTGTGTGTATTTGTGTGTGTGTGTCTGTGTGTGTGTCTGTGTCTGTGTGTGCATGCGTGCATGTGCGTGTGCGTGTGTGAGAGTATGTGTGTATGTATATGTATGTCATTAAATCATTATTTTTATTTTATTGATGTAGTTTTTTTTTTTTTTTTTCTTTCCCTATCTTTCTTTCTTTACATCCTCAGCATCAGCTCTATGAAAGATGATAATAATGTATGACTATATATATGTATTATTATTATTGTGTTTGTGCGCTTTTTTTTCTTCTTCTTTTCTCTCTTTTTCTTTCCTTTTTTCTTTTCCATTATCAGTAATGATCCCAGGGGAAGCAGCATGCATTAAATAGCTGATGTAAAATGTATGTCTGTTGTACTTTTTTTCTTTTCATTTCTTGTTTTCATGCTAGTGTGCTGCTTGCTAATAGTGCAATGGAGTGATAGAGAGCAAGAGACAGTAAGAGAGAGATATGTTTTATATTCTGTGTATGTATGGAAGTGTATCTTTGACTAAGTGTATGTATTGTGTGTGTGCGCGCAGGTCATTGTGTGCTTACCTGGGTGCACAAATGGGCATGCCCACTCCAGCTCATAAATGGTGTTTTGGACCAAATAAAAGATGCTTGTGTAAGTATTAGCTTTACTTGTTGTAAGTCAGTTTCTAAGTCATATTAAAAAATGTACTTTGTTTAATATTTTCTACAATGTAACTTAAGATTTATTCTCTGTTAAATGTTTATTCTAATATACCTGTTTATTATCAAGCCATAACAAGTGTTCAAGAAATTTTAAAAAGAGGAAAACAAAAAAAATATTGTATATTTATGTGTGCTTTTCTTGTAGCCAAGTGTTAAGACGAAGCTGAAAGTCAAGCTGCAACAAATTTGTCATAATTTGTCTTGATCAGCCTCGTAGTGTCATCATTGCCTTGCAAATGACAAGTGTTATTGCCAGATAGACTCTGCATGGCCACACAACAAGACTTTCCTTATTTGTAACTAATATGCAAATAGCCACGGGGCATGACCAAATGCCATACTACAGAATGACCACAATTATAATTTTATGTCTTTTTTCATGTTTGCATGTTGAGTATCTGATATAGATGTTGGTGCATAACATGTAAGGAGATGCATGAATGTATGTCTACCCAATTTTTGTTGATATGGTTATTATCACTGCTACATGTATTGTACTTATTTAAACCAGTCTGTGTGATGGGCTTAGTCTGATGAAAACCTCAAGTCATGTTCAGGTTCTCTCATTTTTTCCACAGTTTATCTGCTGATTCCAGTGCATTTTTTCACTTAAATCATTGTAATATTTCTCTATACTCTTTCTGTGGAAAATAAATTTTTAAAGCTAGTTAGAACCAGTGATGTATAAATCTAGCCTCTGCCCAATTGTTGATATTAATCAGTAATGAATAAGCATAGGACCAGTGTTACTGCTTGTATTGTTTTCTGATTTAGTTTCATGTTTATGCTTTTGGGGTATCCATGACATGTCAGGTGCAATTTAAAAGTCATTTTCAGATAATTTTGGAGGATAATGTCCTTTTAGCAAAGAAAAGCAACATCACCAAGATGTGTTAATGCACTTATCAAGGAAGAAAATACAATAAAAAAAGAAAAAAAAATATTCCAAGTTACTCCTATGGAGTTTTTAGGTCTTGGAATTGAAATGCAGTTGATAAATACAGTCCACATTGAAAACAAAAGACTGGTGCTTTGTGGTCATCAGATGTAACAGTCTGGGCTGCAGAAAAAATCTTGTCCCTCAGTGTAAGCACATACTGCAAGGACAAATGAAAGAAACTGTTTGTGACAACAGGTGAGCTCTCTCCCTCCCTTTCTTCCAGTCCCTCCCTTTTCATCTCTCACTTGATGAGAAAACTAGTCTCTTAGTGGGGGAAAAAGTGCAATTTACTTAACCACCTCTCCTGATTGCCAAGAGATGGTACCTCCCTTTTGAGTACAAGGTACTTTTGTGCAGCATTGCCAGCATTACAGCCTGGGCCAGTGTCTTGATCCCAGTGTTGCGTGCATGAGCAATGCACATCGTCCATTTAATCAGTACTATTATTAACTGTCACCTATTTCTCCCAAGGAGAAAGGTCTACCCTCCAGCCATCAGACAACCAGTTGTTACCCATCACATTTGTCCAGTGTGTTATCTTTGCAAGATATTTATATGCTGGGTGTTATACCATAGTTTATATATCATACTACTTTTTACTGAACAAAAAGTATAAATTAGATTTATATCTTAATATAGTGATAGTGATCATGTGTGGCTTTCTTTTTACCCTTAATTTTTTTTTATTTATTTTTTTTCTTTTTATAATTTTAGGTTTAGGCAATTTCATAGCCACATTTCCTTGTGGTTCTATATGTAAAATGTAAGACATATGTGTGTCCTGCCATGAATGGACCAAAATTTAATTTTTATTTGATACTTTGTATATATATACATTTCTACTATAATTACTTTTTTAATATTTTTTTATATTTGTGGCCTTCACTTGTGCAGACCAGGAAGGAAAGAGAATGGAAACCAGATACTCAATATAAGATCGGAATTAACAATGTAATTGTTTCAGGCTGAGTAACTTTCATGTTGTGTTTTCATGTACTTGGATGAAGAAAAGAAGAAAAAAAGTTTCTTACTAATCACTGATAATAAAAGAGAACTAAGTATTGATTTTCAATATCCTGCTCTTTTATAATGTCATGATATAATCACAATGTGAAACCAATTTCACAGCAGTTTTAGCATGTTGAAGATTTGGTAGAACGTATTTTTCACAAAAGCCAATCTTTTATGCGTTTTTGTAATGACAATGACATTTACTCATTTTAGATAAGGTTGAAATTCAGCAGTGCTGTGGGTTTGATTGTGTACTACACGAGTTAAAAATCCTGCATGTGATATACATGGGACATTTAGCTAGAAGTTGAGGTATACTAGACATGGCTTCTCCCCCAGCCTCACCATATTGCTATATTCTGAATATACTCCTAATGACCTTTGAAATTAAGCAAATAAATATATATATTATACATTATTACAATTAAGTTCTTAGAATAATCATAAAACACAAAAAATCTAAAATGAATGGTATTAAATCTTACCTGTGTAGTGATTACTCATTCATAAATAATACCCTTGTTTATAATATATTTACTAAAATACTGGCAATGCCGGATTTACCTATAGGCTTAGCAGACTGACTCAAAATCTAAGGGACCTCCAGCCAAGGCGTATAATAATTTTGACACTCATAGGTCTTTCTTACATATGCTGTCATAACTCTTTGTAGAGTGAACAACCCTTCAGTAATTTTCGTTACATTCCATTTCAGAATAATACTGTCTTAAAGCCATTAACTCAGTACTAGTATTAATTTTTTATAGATCTTTTAATTTCCAGAGAGCAATGAAATAGAGAAGTAGAAAACACTGTTGTGCAAGTATCTGAAAAGGATGATGCTGTTTTCATCAGTCAAGTCAGTAATAATAATACAACTGCACTTATTGTAGTGTCTGTTAATGATGGGAAAAGGCAAACACATTTTGAAAATGGCTTTGAAAGCAGATTCAATTCAGATTTTACAATCTAATTGTCAATGAAGGACAGGTCTTTCTTTAAGAAAAAATGCACGTGTATGTTATACAGGATTTTTTCTTCTTTATAGTGAACCCCATTTGGTGAGAACAGTAGAGCCAACAAAAGTCACAAAAACCATCTGTGGATTTTAAACCCCAGTCATCATCCTTGGCTTTACTCAAAATATTTGGTTTAACACTTCCATCTTCCTCTACTTGTGAGAATGAAGGATATGGAGGGGCTTCACAAATAAAATTGCCTAGGCCCTCTCCATCTAAATCCAGCTTTGAATACTGGTGTAATGATCAGTATTTTGTAAACATTGCCATTTTATATATATATATAATATATATATATATATATATTATATATATATATATAATATATATATATATATATATATATATATATAATATATATATATATATATATATATAAATAAAGAAGTATAAAATATAAAATAGATAAACCATTGGTAAATGTAGTTCCAAACAATTTAGTTTCTGAAGCATTTCTGTAATGGTTACAATTGATAAAAGTACTTGTTGCTTACATAACTAATTTCATCTAATATTCTCTTCAGTTATGGTTGACAAAAAAAAAGGTATATGCTAAAGTATATTTTATTAGACAAAAATCTTAGAAGTACCGTAGAAAAAAGTTAACAACTTTGTCACTTACTTCCAGAATTTAACAAGAATTTGATTTCATTACATTAAATAGCCTTTTTTTTCTTAGTCTTATAATTATTTCATGTAAGACAACACTGCCTAAGAATATGGAAACTGTCATTTTGGAATATTGAATAATCAATACAAATTAACAATCTATGCAAAACCTCCATTTCTCGTGAGCAAAACATCCACAAACTGCAAATTAAATACCTTAAATAGTGACATTAGGATAGAAAACTAAAATCCGTGATAATCTTTGTAGGACACATATTAGGATGCATAAAAATAACCATGGAAAAAGAGAGAATATCTATCTATTACAAAGAGAATAAAAGTATAATGTGAATCAAAAAACATATTTCAAGTTAGAACTTATCTTCAGGTTGCACATACATACAGATGAAGTTTGTTTCTTTGTACCTTGAAACAGTTCTAAAATATTTTTTTCTTTCTTTCAAAATTCATAAAATGTCAACAATATTTAACCTTTACACTAGCTGCTAAGTCACGTATAAAGTCACACATATAGTTCATATCCATATGATATTAAGAATTGTGCCTGAAAATACTGGAATTAGCAATATTAATTTGTAAAAATTTTCTCTAAACTTTTGCCTTTTTAATACAGGAATTTTTATTTATATTCTGTTAATTGATTTATCTCCGTACAATATATTGCAGAACACTCAGCCTGAGACCAATCAGAAAAAAACAAAATTTGCTCTATTGTAGTTACGAAAGGAACACACCCACTCCTACACTCAATATTGCTTCACACACTCCTCAACTTCAATTTAGAAAGGCAGAAATACATATAAATTACATGTATATAAATATATTATAGAAAATAATTCATAATTCTATCTAAAGTATGAATGAAGAGAGAAAAACGTAAATGGAGTAAAAATCTGAATACAAAAAAATTGAACAATACACAATAAAAGTTTTAAACCTGAAGATTGATCTTACGAGTAAGGCAAAAAGGATTCTCATATAAATAGCACACCCGTTCCCACAAGGGTTTGTTTCACATGATAATCTTGGGCTCTAAGACCGAGGCTGCTATGCTCTTGTGTGGAAGCACCATTCCGCCATTAACATAAAGTTCATCCTTGACAATCACATCCTCGCCCAGCACAGAAACGTTTTCCATGCGCACCTGTAAGGAACAGGTGAGTGAATTATTTTGCAGAGGAAAAATGGCAAACATAAATGCAATGCAAGGACAGATAGTACAATACATGGAGTCAATTTGAGATCATAAAGCTAAGCAAAGGAAAATATAACAGAAGTAAAAATTACTGACTGAGAAAGGAGCAGAAGAAAGATAAGAATACCTACCCATTTCCCAACAATACATTTCCATCCAATTATGCAGTTTTCAAGCCACGTGTGTGACTTTATGGTGGCTCCTCGAAGGATTGTGCACCGCTTGATACAAGCTCCATCCTCAATCACCACATCAGGCCCTATAGTCACATTGGGGCCAATGCGACAGTTCTTCCCAATTTTGGCTGAAGGGTCTACAAGGACGTTGCCAACAATACCTGCATGAACAAAGAAAGAAAACCTTTAATATAATAATTCTTTAAACCAAGACAAAGTCACTGTGAAAAAATAATACAATAGACTGAAATCCTGAATGACTCCGACTCATTCACCTGGGGCTTTACAGAGCTTGGCACTGTTATTAATCTTGCAAGAGTTGAGGTAGAGGCACATTCCTGTCAGGAAGTCCTTTGGTTGTCCAATGTCCATCCAGAAGCCTTGGAGCTCTTGTGCATAAAGCTGGCCCTCTTCTGCCATGTAAGGGAACACCTCCTTCTCAATACTCATAGGGCGGCACTGGCAAAGGAAGGAACAAAGATGTGAATGAGGGCAAATAATTTCACAACAGTTGTTCATCTCTTTAGCTAATTGTTGATCCCTACTAGAGCTTTTGATGTAAAGAGCTGTGTCATGTGAAGTAATAGCAAAGTCTTACAAACATAGACGGAAACATGCATGTACTTTTGGACTGCCAAGAATATGCAATGTAAACTTTTATATCAGACGAACATTAAAGACGACCATACATATATGTATAAGGTTCATCATTCATTCTATCACACAGCATGCCCCTACCCCCAGGCCCCTAATTTTAGCTCAATACTAATTTACATATATCAAACACCTGTTCACTTGTGCATAAGATTTCTCCCACACAAAAACCCAATTTCAAAAGAAATGGAAAAAATATATTTCCTGAATTACCTAAAGGTCAGCAAAACACCTGTTCACTTGATTTTCTCACACATGTTAGGATTAATCCAATACCAATTAATCCTCTGAACAACTGATAGCCTAAATTACGGGGATCAAAGTACTGCACTTTTTTCACATCTTTATTTTTTTTCCTTTTTACTTTTTCATATAGATTTGTATTCATTAATTACAGCCCAAACTAAAGATACTTCAAAAGAAGGCATTATATTTGTCCTCACAAAACAGCAGTTTGAGAAAAAATTGATTACCAAAAGCCACACATACACAAAAACACATTCTTAAAAGAAATGGTAAAAATATATTTCATGAATTACCTAAAACTCAGCAAAACATCTTTGCAAGACAAAAGACAAGAAAGAAAGAAAAAAAAAAAACATTAATAGTAATATGATGAAAAGAAAACCACTTGCACCTTAAGGAGAAACCCACCTCTATCCTCTTTAAAACTGAGGGGTTGAAGATGTACATTCCTGCGTTGATCTTGTTGGAGACGAACTCCTGTGGCTTTTCAACGAATCTGTCAATCTTGCCAGAGTCATCGTAAATCACCACACCATATTTGGAAGGCTCCTCCACCTTCGTCACCTATTGAAGGTAAAAAGTAAACAAACCAATTGGATTATTTTTAAGAAAAACAAGTACTATTGTGATGAAAACTACATAATGCATGGAAACGGTCTGAAAATTGTGTATTTCTGAACTTTTAAAGCAAAAGGTACAATTCTATGGATAATTCAGTTGTAGAAATCAAAATGTTCAGTAGAATGAAATGAAGGCATTTAAGATGACATGTTATGAAAAAAGTGCATTTATAAAGTAGAACCAAAGAAAATTGTAATAATATCAATCATATTACCTACCCATACTAGGCCTATACACATAACATCTTATTAATATAATTAACATCTATGTTCTATAAATCCCTGGCCATCTGAATCCACACTTGTAAATTGATACACAAATGAACATCTGTATTCTCATAAAGATACTTTCATTAACATGATACACTGACAAGAACTCAAATGCCAACACACACATACATATGCATATGTACCTCATACTCATACTCATCATATACATTACATTACAAACACACACATACGTATGCACACACATGCACACACGCACACACACAAGCACAAGCACATCAAAAATCCACAATGATATCCACAATGCCCCCATTATCATGACACCTGCCATATCCCCCTAATCATGATACCTTTTATATCCCCATGATATTGATGATACACACCATACCCTACGATGGCACCCACCATACCCCATAATGATAAAACCCCCCTTATCCCATAATGACACCCACCATACCCCTATGATGGTGGTGATACCCTGGATGATACACATCCTGTCCCCATCAAGATGAAATCCACCAGACCATGTAATGATGCCCACTTTGCCCCCCAGGACATGCCACCATACGTCTGAGATGATAAAACCCTATCATACCCCATAGACAGACCCATCAAACCCCCTGATGATCCCATATTCCCATGATAGCAAACCCCTTCCATACCCACACACTGCTACCCACCATTCCTACAACGCGGCCCTCCCCTACGTACCATGATGGTGCCCTCCCTGCCGTGCTGCTTGTGGAACTGGACCATCTGCGCGAAGGGGAAGTCGCAGATCACATCGGAGTTGAGCACGAAGAAGGGCTCGTCGTTGGAGGCCAGGATGGACTGCGCCAGCTTGATGGGTCCGGCCGTGCCCAGCGGCTCCTCCTCCAGCGAGAACGTGATCTCGATGCCCAGCTGGGACGGAAAGGGAGGACGAGTTGTGGCTTGGAGGTCAAGTGGGGGGCTATGCGCCGGGTTTGGGGTTCTCTGTTTGCGCACTTTTTAGAGAACTGATAGACACTTATTATCATTCTTTTTAAGGATTTCATTTCGCTCACCTACGCTTCCTTTATATTTACTTGCTTGTCTCTGGGGAGGGGGGAGGAACTCACCCACACGCCACCCCGTTCCACCCACCTTCTGGGCCTCCTGCGCTAGCTCCTGCTCCATCTGCTCGGCGTGGTAGGACACGGCCAGCACCACCTGCGTCACACCGGCAGCCACCAGCGCCTCGATCTGGTGCAGCACGATGGGCTTGTTGGCGAACTCCACCAGGGGCTTCGGCCGGCTCAGCGTGAGGGGCCGCAGCCGCGTGCCGAACCCGCCCACCAGGATCAGCGCCTTCATGTTGCCCAGGGTCAGATCTGCGGGCGGGGAGAGGGGGCGCTAGAAATGGAGGGGCGTTTGAGATGGGAGGAGGAGAAGGGGAGAGAAAAGAGAGAGAAAAGAGAGAGAGAGAAGACAGAAAGAGAGAGAGAGAAGACAGAAAGAGAGAGAGAGAAGACAGAAAGAGAGAGAGAGAAGACAGAAAGAGAGAGAGAGAAGACAGAAAGAGAGAGAGAGAAGACAGAAAGAGAGAGAGAGAGAGAGAAGACAGAAGAGAGAGAGAGAGAGAGAAGACAGAAAGAGAGAGAGAGAGAGAGAAGACAGAAAGAGAGAGAGAGAGAGAGAAGACAGAAAGAGAGAGAGAGAGAGAGAGAAGACAGAAAGAGAGAGGAGAGAGAGAAGACAGAAAGAGAGAAGAGAGAAGACAGAAAGAGAGAAGACAGAAAGAGAGAAGACAGAAAGAGAGAAGACAGAAAGAGAGAAGACAGAAAGAGAGAGAGAGAAGAGAGAAAGAGAAGACAGAAAGAGAGAAAGAGAAGACAGAAAGAGAAAAAGAGAGAAAGAGAAGACAGAAAGAGAGAGAGAGAGAGAGAGAAAGAGAGAGAGAGAGAGAGAGAGAGAGAGAGAGAGAGAGAGAGAGAGAGAGAGAGAGAGAGAGAGAGAGAGAGAGAGAGAGAGAGAGAGAGAGAGAGAGAGATTTCAAATTCTAAATAGTTTATTCCACTTGTTACAATGGTTTATTATCATATACATAGCGTTATTACAGTACATATAAGTTAAACATTGAATCAATGGTAGTACAAATCTTGTCTATTCCTTTAAAACCTGATGCCATTGGTGATAAAGAGATGTTCCTTGAATTTCTTTCTGAATGCATTTGAGTTCTGAATGTTTCCTATATGACAAGGTAGTTGGTTCCAGATCATGGGTCCACGAGTTAGTGTCTGTCATGCCTCTATATCTGTACATAATCTTTTGACATATACGGAGTTAACCTGTCGTGTTTGAACTATGTTTTGTTTACGTGTGGGTAATGTGGTCATACTTCTTTACGTTACCAAGCTCTACCGGAAGCAAAGTTTTGTAATTTCTGAATTTTCTGAATTTGACCTTTGTTGTACCCGTATGTTTGAGCAATAATCAGTTATATTGAAAACTAGTGTTTGTATAACCGATATTCTTGTTTCAACAGGAATTCTATTTTTAACATGACATAGGTAAATTAGAGTGCCCTTTACTTTTGTGTATGTTGTCGACGTGGTTCTCGAATGCCATCATCTGTCAATGAGTACGCCTAGAGATTTTTTACGGGAGTGCTCGGTCTTATGTAGCTGTTTTCAAATCTTAATCGTGCTTACACGAATTTTGGCGATGTTTTGGCGACCACCTATGAAGATATATTGAGAGAGAGAATGAGGGAAAGAGAATGTGAGAAAGAGAAGAGAGAGTGAGAGAGTGAGAGAGTGAGAGAGTGAGAGAGTGAGAGAGTGAGAGAGTGAGAGAGTGAGAGAGTGAGTGAGTGAGTGAGTGAGTGAGTGAGTGAGTGAGAAGAGAGAGAAGAGAGAGAAGAAGAGAGAGAGAGAGAGAAGAGAGAGAAGAGAAGAGAGAAGAGAAGAGAAGAAGAGAGAAGAAGAGAAAGAGAAGAGAGAGAGAGAGAGAAGAGAAGAGAGAGAAGGAAGAGCGAGGGTTAAAGAAAGAGTAAAGAAAGAGAGAGTAAAAAGAGTGAAAAAGAAAGAGAGAAAAAGCAAAGAAGAGAGAAAAGAAAGAGAGAAAAAGCAAAAAGAGAGAAAAGAAAGAGAGAGTGAAAAAGAAAGAATGAGAGAGGAAGACAACCCCCCTCCGAAAAAAAAAACGTTTGACATCATCAAATCTTTATTTCCCAATCTCCTCCCGCTTTTTAAAAGATCACAACTACCAACCCCTTCCTACAGACAGCGCAAACCAACCCCACCGAAAAGGAGAGAAGACCGCCCACACCACCGCCCCGCCCATCGCCAGCCCGCCACCACCCACCCCGTCAGTCGCCGCTTGTCGTCCACTGCCATCGTGGCCAAGGGCGAGTTGCATATACGTCAGGAAAGTTGATTTTATTCGCAACGAATCGGGGGAAAACATGTCCTTGTTTGAAATACAAGAAACGTGATGACGAGTCGATAGTTCTCTTTTCTACTCCTTATCTACATTGGTAATCGGTTAGACCTTTATAATCAGCTGATTCATTCATGCTCGCCGATAAAGTGCCGATTCATTCACTCTGTGTGTGTGTGTGTGTGTGTGTGTGTGTGTGTGGTGTGTGGTGTGTGTGTGGTGTGTGTGTGTGTGTGTGTGTGTGTGTGTGTGTGTGTGTGTGTGTGTACGCGTGTGCATGTTTATGTGCACGCGTGTGCATGTGTGTGTGTATGTTCATGTGTAAGTGTGTGCATGTATATGTGTGTGCATGTATATGTGTGTGCATGTATATGTGTGTGCATGTATGTGTGTGTGCATGTATATGTGTGTGCATGTATATGTGTGTGCATGTATGTGTGTGTGCATGTATGTGTGTGTGCATGTATATGTGTGTGCATGTATATGTGTGTGCATGTATATGTGTGTGCATGTATGTGTGTGTGCATGTATATGTGTGCATGTATATGTGTGTGCATGTATATGTGTGTGCAGTATGTGTGTGTGCATGTATGTGTGTGTGCATGTATATGTAAGTGTGTGCATGTATGTGTATGTGTGTAATGTCTCGGTGCAGGGGTCCGAGCGAGCGATAGCCCCGAGACAACCAGACCCCGCGCCCCCCACCGACATTACATCAAAGTTATTGAGAATGTGGCGGTCACTTCTCATAAATAGCCGTGTTTAAATACCTAATTGGAACTGATAAACACACACAAAGCACACAGGTAAACAAATGCGTGAGCGTGCGTGCGTGTGCGTGTGCGTGTGTGTGTGTGTGTGTGTGTTGTGTTGTGTGTGTGTGTGTGTGTGTGTGTGTGTGTTGTGGTGTGTGTGTGTGTGTGTGTGTGTGTGTGTGTGTGTTTGTGTGTGTTTGTGTGTTTGTGTGTGTTTTGTGTGTGTGTGTTTTGTCATGTGTACGCGTGTGCATGTAATGTGTGTTTGCAATGTATATAAAGAGTATGAGTGTATGGTACATATGCATATGTATGTGTGTGTTGGCATTTATGTTCTTAATTGTGTCAGTATATTATATTAATGGAAGTATCTCTATGAGAATACAGATGTTCACTGTATACCAATTAACAAGTGATTATTCAGATTCAGGGATTTCTAGAACAGGTATTAATAATGTTAATAAGATGTTACGTGTGTGGGCCTAGCATGGAGAGATGTTCATTTGTATATCAATTTACAAGCGAGGATTCAGATGGCCGAAATTTTCTAGAAATAGGAATTAATTATGTTAATAAGATGTTACGTGTGTAGGCCTAGTATGGGTAGGTATATGATTGATATTATTGCAATTTTCTTTGCTTCTACTTTATAAATGCACTTATTTTCATAAAATGTCAATTAAAATGCCTTTATTTCATTCTTCGGAGTGTACGCGCACACGCACACACGCTTACACATGCACGCACGCACACGCACGCGCACGCACGCACGCAACGCACGCACGCACGCACGCACACGCACACACACGCACACACACACACCACACACACACAACACACACACACACACACACACAACACACACACACACACACCACGAACACACGAACACACGAACACACGAACACACACCACACAACACGAACACAAACGAACACACACGAACACACAATTTTAGCAACAAGAAAAAAAATCGAGGCCTACCTCCATTCTGCTCCAAACACGCGACCCAAAATCCAAAACAAAAAGGACCCAGCCAACCCACACCAAAGTTACAATTAATCAACCGAAACATTTTAACGAATCATGACTTTCGCTTGCCGGGCGCACTGGTTTCGGTCGTTAATGCTCTTTTTCTTCGTTTTAATCGCCCAAAACCTAAATTTTTCGCGCCGAGTCATGCACCGGCCGGGTTGGCGGAGGTGCCTCACCCGCCTCCATGGCGACTCGCTCTGCTTGTTGTTCTTTGTTTTCCCACCCTCTGTTCTATTGGCTGTTGCTGTCCATATTCGTGTTCTTCATTTTTTTCCTCCTGTTCTATTTCCCACCACTTCCATTCCTTATTCTTGTTTCGTTTCTTCTCTCGCTTCCGATTTTTTTGTTTGTTTGTTTCCGAGTTTCTCTACTTGTTCTTTTTATTCTCACCGCTTTGCAGTCCTTCCCCTATTTGTTCTATCTACTGGTGTTGTTGTTCTTGTTCTTCCCTTTCAACTAATCTTTATAATTTATTACACGAATTTTGCTTTCGACCTTATTGTTTTCCCGTCTCCTCCTTGTTCTATTTATTGGCGGTGCTCTTCGTCTCTTTCTTTCGCGCTTTAAGAATTTCGTGTTGTGTCTCCCTGTTGTAATTCTTGTTCTTCTCGTTACTGTCCCTGTTCTTTTAGTCGTCATCGTCCTTGTTGGTGCTCTTCTATTGTATATTTCACATTAATACTACTCGTATAACTATCATTAACATAATTCTCATTATTACATTACCAGCCCGTTTGAATCAGCCATAACTACTCTGTTTTCAATAAATCACTGACTCCCCTTTTGGATTCAGTTATGACTAGTTATGCACGGTGTAATGGTGTCAGTAGCTCCTGGAAAGAGCACTTTGGCGAAAGATTCCAATTTATCGACATGTGAGAGATAATTACATGTAGGTCCTGTAGGTCAGATCAAATTCGACGCCAAAATTTTCATATTGCTCCATGGCCCAGGTTGGGAACCCTTGAATTACAGGGAGGGAGGGAAGGAGGGAAAGAGGGAAAAAGGGAAGGAGGGAAAGAGGGAAGGAGGGAAAGAGGGAGGGAAGGAGGGAAGGAAGGAAAGAGGGAAGGAGGGAAAGAAGGAAGGAGGGAAAGAGGGAAGAGAGAAAGAGGGAAAGAGGGAAGCAGGGAGCGGGGAGAGCGAGGGAGAATTGAATTGCTGCTGCCCACTGCCCATGGCCTTTCTCTCAACAGGAGACACATTGACCTCAACTTGTGACGTGACTGACTGCGTTTGGCTTGTTTTGCTTCCACGTCTTTCCCGCTCCCTGCTGCCTCACACTTTTCCTAGTTATTTCTCATCTTTTCCTCACAACAATACTCGCATTTTCCTCTCTTCCTTTCCCTTATTCGCGTTCTTCCTCTCTCTCTCTCTCTTCTCTACTTTTCCCCATTCCATCCCCTCCTACAACTTTCAACCCTCCTGTTTCCTTTCGCTCCTTCGCTCTTTTCTCTTTTCCCCCACCTTCCCTCTCCTCCCACTTTACTTGCTCTCTCCTACCTCCCCCATCAAACTTATTCCCCTCCCCTCCCATCCCAACCCTCTCCCACCTCGCTCCCCTCTTCACCTTCCCATTCCCTTCTGTAATATGCTTTCCTCTTTCC